TGATAAGAGTTGTATGAGTCCCCAATAAAATGATTTTTAAAAGAAAATAAAAGCACTTTAATGCATAATTAAAACCACATAAGGCATTTCTGAACTAGAAATACAGAATATGTATTTCCATTATTTAATAATGCCAGTCTGAACCTGCCATGATTCCTCACCCCACAGGGTCTATCAAACACCATTCATGGCCCCACAGAGACTTTATCATTACCAACTTATTTTTACAAGCAATGAGTACAGATGACAGATAATATTTTACTTTAAATTATCTTTTCCAGAGTCAAGTCAAGAAACCATCACTGATCTCTAAAGGACGTCTTGTGTGGTTAAGCAGAAAGTCCATGAAAATGCGAGAAACCCTCAAGCAGATGGTTTAGCACAACAGCCGCAGCAATGGGCTCCAATACACTCGTGATCATGAGGATGGCGGAGCACAGGGCAGCATTCCGTCCTGTTGTACTCACGATCATCGCAGAGTGAATTCAGCCGACGTGATGAGAACAAACAAGAACAGCAGCCGCATATCAGTGCCTACACTCTAAGCTCAACGGCATGCCTTTAAAGACCCCATTTGTGCTCCCCATCCATAAACCTTCAGCTCCCGCCAACCCATTGCCTCCTTGGTAAAGGTTTTAGTAAAATCACTCAAAAGCCCATCAGTAACCAGCTTCTTAATCCACAGGATCCACTCTCCTGTGAAGGTATACACCTACTGTGACACTCGAAGTGCCGGCAATCAATTTTTAATTACAGCAGCAATCTCCACGAGAAGATAAAGCAGGCAATTCATCAGGAAGATACCAAGAGATCATTGATTTCAATGAATCTCCATCCGGGAGCCACATGTGTGAGGTCTGAGTCACAAATGACTCAACCAGTCATGGCCAGGAGGCAACCCTGGCTCAGGAAGATGATCTTACCTCTGGGACGTTTTCTTATATTTCCTCCTGTAGGAAAAGAAGCAGAAACACAGATCAGATAATGGTTTGTGGCAGGCCATGGTTTAGAGAAGGATTAGTTCAATGGGGATGGGCACGTGTGAATGCTTCCTAGAGAGAGCTGTCTGTGAAATGCTTAGGATTACCGGAGTGTATTGTGGTCAGAGTTATACAGCCGTGGGCATAACAGTTACAAATAGGATCCCAGCAGCTGTGGCTCTGCCCTCTACTTTATGCCCTTTTCCTTTTTAAGGGCAATTCCATGTGTTCACTGGGAATCAGCTTTCAATGCTGTTAAGATCCAAGTTCAAAACTCAGTCCTTCGGTTTACTGGGTTTTGAAGAGGGGGCGGGATTGTGTAGATTCAATGGAAGGCGGCTGTTAGAGTACTTTTGGGTCTGGGACATAGCCAATGGTCAATAACTATTAGCGATCTGTGATGTTACTATTGTCTCTGTTGTACTCTTCATGAATCATTAAGGCCTTTTAGGAGTGTGCTTTCGAAAATGTGAGTGTGTGACTGCAGCAGAGCCGCGATGAGATCAGACAGAAGGTCTTCAAGGAAAGCAGGGAGTGGTGAGGCAATGAGAAAGTCCAGAGACCAACATGAAGAACTTGCTAATAACCCGGCTGTGGGTCCAGTGCAATCGCTCAAGCCTCCTGGAAGACCATTCCCTCAGGGAGCAGACGAGACTTGATTTCACCCGCTCCGCTCTTCACAGCCAGCAGTGGGCCTGGGGTAAATCACCTGGGTTTGAGGCTTCTTAATTTACAATATGGAGGTAGCGGAACTGCCCTAACTGCCTCACATGGGCCATAATATATTTATGATGGAAACGGTCACATATGGAAGTGTGTTGTCTCCATAATGTAATGTTCTTCATGCTGGTGTCCGTTTTTGAAAACTCTGGAAGCCTGCAAAAGAGTTTGAACAGACTGCCTCGTGGAGGGGATTGGA